GCTACCTAAGCTGATAGCCCTAGCGGCTATTTCACGTAGCCTTAACTTTAGTAGGTAGCTCACGGGGCTCAAACCTGACGATGTTGTAACACGAACCCTAGCAAGAGTCGTGCTTCGCAGAATCTACCACCGGATCGGAAACGCGACCCACTGAGAAGATCCGGCGAGAAACTCAGTGGGCTGTGTCTGAGAGTTAATTTACTCGTCGAGCCCTTCGTCGCAAGCGACGGGTTCGACGAGAACGGTGACCGGTGCTTGAAGTACCTAAAAGCACCGTTAGTGGATCAGGAGGATCCGAGATGACGTGTTTAGGGCGACGTCGACTGCTTTCCATTCTGTCCGCAGGATCGGGAATGTAGTTACCGGCGGCCACGATGAGAGGGTTCTCGTGTCGTGCCGCTTTATCGAAGTGGCGCATGGACGCCGACTGAAGATACTTACTGATGGACTCTAAGTCCAGGTCGTCATGGAGGTCGACGTTCCTGACGAACCACGGGGCTCCGACGGCTATCCTGCAAAAACGGGATTGAATAATTTGAAAGGATTTTAAGTGTATGCGGGCCGCGTGAGCGAACACTACACTTGCATAGGTCATGACGGGGCGTATGCAAGTTTTGTAGAGTGTCACCTTATTTCTAAGGGACATTTTACTTCGCCTACATATCATCGGGTAGAGACGTCCTAGAATGAAGGCGGCACGGTCGACGTACCTGATTTATGATGGGGGCGGAATGTCATCCTATGCATCGAGGGGTACGCCAAGTATCTTGACCTTCCGGCCCACGGTATGGATGTGACTAGATTGGCAGTAACGGCGGGGGCGGGTTATTGACGCCCTCCTAATCGGAGGGGAAGCTCAGCGTGTGGAGGGCGATTCCCCTTTGAAAGAGCACCGCTAGTGACTTTTTCGTGGGGTTAATGTCGTATGCGCCACTTTCGGAACCACTGTCCATGGGCTAGGCTGCGGTCTGAAGTTGCGCGATAGCAGCCTTCTTCTACTACGAGTAGTAGATGCGCGTGTCAGTCGGCGAAAGGCAGAATGGGTCTCCGGAGACCGGGGAATATCGTTGATTACAAAACTGAAATAGTGAACGGGGGAGGGACGAGCCTTGCGGGACTCCGATGTGAGTGAGGTCGGGGCCGAGGAACGCGGTTCCCTCGACTCTATATCGGAAAAACGGTTCGACAAGAGTCTCGTATGATGAGCACGAGACTGTCTCGGCACTCCCATGTTATACAGTTTGAAATCAAACCGTTGTGCCAGACTTTGTCGAACGCCTTCTTCGACGTCGAAGAACAGGGCTCCTGTCGGAATGGGTTTCCGCCTGTTCAGCCCTAGTAAGATGTGCTCCGTGAGGCGGTGCACTTGATGGACGCACGAGTGTCTGGCGCGGAATCCAAACTGCTCGTCTATAAGAATTTTATTCGCGGATACGAAGTCCCAGAGGCGTTTACGAAGGAGCCGTTCGTATAGTTTGCCTATCGCCGGGAGGAGACTGATGGGGCGGTAACTCGCGGTTTCGTTCTTCGGTTTGCCCGGCTTGTGTATGCCGATAACGTCCGCTTCTTTCCACGCCGCGGGAAAGATGCAGTTCGTCATAGCAGCATTTAATATGGTGGCCAACATCGTTATCAGTTGGGCTGGTAACAGTTTAAGCGCGCGGTTGCGGATGCCGTCGGAGCCGGGAGCTTTCCGTGGTTGTAGGCTATCGATCGCCTCCTTGACCTCGGAAGTGGTAATGGGGGGTAACGCGTCCGAGGGCGGCAGGGAAGCTCTGCGCTCGACCTCCCTGTCGACGAACTCGGTGTGTTCGGGGTCCGCGTGTTGAGTGCTGGTGGTGCACTGCTCTTGCAGTGCATCGGCCAGCAACTCTGCCTTGTCATCGTCATCGTAAGCCGGTGGTTGGCCTGTGTAAAAAAAAAAAAAAAAAAAAAAAAAAAGTGTAGACGCGACGTGAAACTAATGTCCCGAAAGGTGTGCTGCGGACGGGACGTGTGTATCTTTAACTCGCGCGCGCTTCAAGCGTAGAAAATGGCAAACCCACGATGGAGTACAGATAAAAATGTAGAATTCATTAATGAATCACCGACAACAGTATCTCTGGATCCTGAAACACTTACAGTAAAAATCAAAATTATCTTCACTCATTCGAAAATAGTTTAGCTCTCAGGAGTCTCAGGATCTTCATCTACTAACTCAGAGACTAACTTCATTGCACCTAAATGCCTTCTTGTTGACCATCCTCGAATCTACCAACGTCTTTTTTTTCTTGATAGTCTTTTTTTAAGTTTATAGGTATATAAGCATTTCTTTAGCTACATACATTGAATATAGCAAAATATAGCTTTGATGCTGAAGGCGCCATGGTTACTGCGATACTGTGGATTTCGCGACACTAATTTTTTAACGAAATTACTTTCGCATATATCGAAGCTACTTTCGTGAAACTGAGTTCAACATGCATTACACTAATTTCGTAATGTAAATTCCGCATTACAGTATGACATAACATGGTAAAGGTCTTAATGTTTCGGGCCACAAATAATTAGGATGATGATGATATGACTTGAGCAGATTACTCGTCAATACTTTGCGCTATTTGGATCGTTAGACGTATGTTTTGTAGTCGTCGTGGCCTAACGGATAAGACGTCCGGTGAATTCGTGTTGAAGCGATGCACCGGTGTTCGAATCCCGCAGGCGGGTACCAATTTTTCTAATGAAATACGTACTCCACAAATGTTCACGATTGACTTCCACGGTGAAGGAATAGCATCGTGTAATAAAAATGAAACCCGCAAAATTATAATTTGCGTAATTACTGGTGGTAGGACCTCTTGTGAGTCCGCGCGGGTGGGTACCACCACCCTGCCTATTTCTGCCGTGAAGCAGTAATGCGTTTCGGTTTGAAGGGTGGGGCAGCCGTTGTAACTATACTTGAGACCTTAGAACTTGTATCTCAAGGTGGGTGGCGCATTTACGTAGTGGATGTATATGGGCTCCAGTAACCACTTAACACCAGGTGGGCTGTGAGCTCGTCCACCCATCTAAGCAATAAAAAAAAAAAAAAATACTACTCGCCTAATATTAAGCTCTCCCGTTTCGCGCTGGTAAAGCACAAGTACACGCCGTACAGCGCAGATAAGTGTGCAAAAGTAAACGTGAAGATATTAAAGTAGATAATTTCGTATTTTCTCTCCGATGCCTGAGGAGGTACAAGCTTTTCGTACTCATTTTCATTTTCTTGTGAAGGTACAATGGTCGCTATGTTTGGAGACATGATTGCGGTCTGAAAGAGAAGAAAAAATTAATGAGACTAGAAGACTAATATGGAGAAGATGTCAGACGTTTCAACTAACGGCAATGACGTCAAAAAATAACTATATTTTAGACTTGGTACTTTAAAAAAGTATATAAAATCTATGCTATTCCTTCACCGTTAATTGGGGCGGATAACCAGTTAACAGCAGGCGGGTTGTCAGCTCGTTCACTAAAACGTTTAACTAAAACGTTCCTTGCAATAAACAAGAAATAAATAGAAAATGTTATGTAAAATCAAAAGCGGAACTGGTTGGAATCGATGTCATTAAGGCACTACAAATATGAAGACTTTCAGAAAACTCCCAAGACACAGCGGTAAGGACCCAGACACGAACACTTCTGTAGGCTGATTCTTTGAGCCTCATTTCTGTAGTCTTCAATCCGCAAGATCAAGCGTTAAGCGCGCACTACTTGTCTCAAAATAAATAATAGTTTAAAAAAACAAAAACAAAAAAGTGCGTGCGTACGAAGTACACATGTCAGAAGTGAAACTTTTTTGGCGAACTAATTTATAAGTCTTGCTTATATTTATACAAATCTAAAACTTTAGATTTCCGAGACTTAGAGGAAGGGAAAAAGGAAGATATGTTCCCGCCAAAAGTGTGTCGAATGTCAATCTCAAACCTCAGTGTTGACAGTCACATTATGTTTAGATTTCTAAATTGTAAATGACTAATATTTTGCCAATTGAATTGACTAATTTAATTTCATGCTATTTGATTAATGTTCCAAATTCTTTTCATTTCATTTCAATTCCTATTAACATTTTTCACAAAAAATTATAAAATATTAGGCTGTATGGTATGATACATTTGCCTTTCCAGTTGGAAAAATACAACAACTACTACTACTGACATTTGACAAGCACTTAATTTCAACAGTAGTTTGATGTCACTTCCGTTGCATACCTGCGTGACGTTCTGTAAAAACTTTACCCTCATGCGCTTAAAGAAGTTTCACTTCAAAAATACGCTTTTATAGAAAATCCAACTATTAATTTATTGCTTAGATGGGTGGACGAGCTCACAGCCCACCTGGTGTTAAGTGGTTACTGGAGCCCATAGACATCTACAACGTAAATGCGCCACCCACCTTGAGATAAGTTCTAAGGTCTCAGTATAGTTACAACGGCTGCCACCCTTCAAACCGAAACGCATTACTGCTTCACGGCAGAAAAAGGCAGGGTGGTGGTACCTACACGCGCGGACTCACAAGAGGTTCTACCACCAGTAAAACAGAGAAAACAATTTTTAATAAATTTGAATTAAAAATAGTGTAAGAAAAAATTATTTTATTGTAAAAAAGCGTGGGGTGCTTTTCAGGATATTTAGAGATTGTATTGTCATCGGTCCTTAATAAGTATACCTAATTTCGAGTTAATCCGACGTTTTGAAGGGGGTCAAAATCATGTTCAAAGATTCCGTTACAAACATACATATGTCTGAAGCTAATAAAAGCGTATTAAAAATAATCTAAAAAGCTTAATTTGTTATTAGAGTGCGAACTGTCATGAACACTAGCTTGAAGTGTGGGGCAGCCGTTATACTAAGTCCTCAAGATTGGCGACGACACTCACGCTGCGATATTTACAAGCAGCGCTTAACATTCGTGCTTTACAGTTATAATCTATACGAGTTTTACTGGTGGTAGAGCCTCTTCGGAGTCCTCGCGGGTAGATACCACCACCCCGCCTATTTCTGCCGTGAAGCAGTAATGCTTGAAGGGTGGGGCAGCCGTTGTAACTATACTGAGACCTTAGAACTCGTGTCTCAAGGTGGGTGGCGCACTTACGTTGTAGATGTCTATGGGCTCCGGTAACCACTTAACAACAGGTGGACTGTGAGCTCGTCCACGCATCAAGGCAATAAAAATAAAAATAAACTTTTGGTGGTTTTATTGAATCTGTATCGTATCTTAATAGGATAAGGAATTGAAGGATGCTATATCACAACGCAAGGTCGTCATGGTCGAATACAATGAGGTCACCGAGAGACTATCCGAGTTGAGACAGCAGAAGCAGTAGGTAGTTGTCGCGGCAGGTAATCAAAATTGTCTTAGCTTAAACAAAATATATATTCTACCGGTATTACTCTCAAATATATTAAGTGTATAATCTATGGGTATTACCGTTATACCGATTACTAAGTTTCCCTATGTGTATTTATCTACCCTTCACCTAGACCACGACATGCATACAAATATTCATGATGAACGTTCATTTTGATGACAGCGCCATCTATTAACAAATCAGCGAACCACGCACTTCAGGTCTGATCGAACAAAAAAATTCCGCTTAGTTCCAATTCACATCACTAGATGCCACCGAAACTTTTTCCATCACTTTTTGAATCGCGCTGACGAGATGTAACACAGCTAAATACATAAACCTATATTTTCGTATAGAATTCATACTTACCTGGCGTAGGGGATACCGTGATCACGTAGGCGGTTCCCCCAGGGCGAGGCTGCTCCATTGCACTGCGGAACGGTTGACCCTTGCGATTACCCCTAATGCGGGTAACTCGGACGCGTAATTTTTGGTAGTGGGGACTGCGTACGCGCTGTCCCCCCAATATATAAATTAGAAGTTTCTATGTAACTCGTCACATCCCACACTGTTACTCGTCAGAATTTTTCAGTGGGTCGCGTTTCCAATCCGATGGTAAATTCTACGACGCACTGCTACACTTCATTACGGATCCTCCCAATCCATTAACGGTGCTTTTAGGTACCTCAAGCACCAGTAACCGTCCTCGCCAAACCCGTCGCTTGCAACGAAGGGCTCGACGAGCGAATTTAACCCACAAACACAGCCCACTGAGTTTCTCGCCGGATCTTCTCAGTGGGTCGCATTTCCGATCCGGTGGTAGATTCTGCGAAGCAGTGCTCTTGCTAGGGCCAGTGTTAACAACACTCCGGTTTGAGCCCCGTGAGCTCACCTACACGTTAAGGTGAAGCTGAAATAGCCTCTCAGGGCAATCAGCATAAGTAGGGAAAAAACCGACCAAATGCAGTCTCACTTCATCTGGCTTCCCTCAAGCAATACGATTAATTCGTAACAGCTTGTTTGAATAAGCAAAAGTTTGAAATAATATCGAGGAAAGGCTATATATTTGGTTTAAGCGGCATTTTTCTAATTTCACAGTAGGGCCATTTAAAGTTTCAAATTTGGGCAAAAACAAAAAATATCATACAATATAACAAACTTCTTAGTTATTTAAATGGAGTAAACTTAATTGAAGTTTCATTGAAAACATCGAACTCTATGAACTGGCCTAAGCCTAAAACGCACAAAGTGCCAAATACTTACAAATATTCCATACATGATAAATAATATACATAATATAATAAATACGCTAACATATTAGCTAATATGGTATAATTAAAATTCAAGTCAGTCAAGTTAACCATCAGGATTTATTTGAAGCTACCTAATTCCGATTTGGGGCATTCTGTGATCGATTATCCTAATATATGTAAGATTAAAAAATGGTGGTCGAATTGACAGCCTCCTCTTTTGAAGTCGGTTAAAAAGCGTGATTTTGCTGTTCCTTAAATAGCTCTTTAACATTCTATAATTCAAAAATATTTTCACTTTCTACGTAAATGAAGTCGGGGGTAAAATTTAGCGCTACGCCAAAGTAACTATTCCACGCGAACGAAGTCGCGGGCCAAAGCTAGTATTTAATAAAAAGCTTACGTTCGTACCAGAGATTAGGGCTTCCTTCAACTTGTCCACCACCACTTGACGACCAACCAACTCCCACCAACTTGACCACCAATAGTAATGTCGTCGGTCAGGCTGCGCGATTTGCAAATGCGTTATTTATGTCGTATAAGTTGTATTTAATTGTTATATAAAGTCATGAAGAATTAATTGACCCACGTAATGAGCAAGGTTAATTAGATGTTGTAGGCCGAAAACGATATAAACACATATTTAAGTAATTTTGGATATTTAAAATTTTTCGTTTCCCGTAACAATCTCTTAAGCCGTTTATACATGTGTATAGTAAATATTTTATTCGATCCTGGCGAGTCGTAGACATAATTAAGAACAACTTCTAGGGTAATTGTTAGTTTACAGTAAAAAAATGAGTCATCCAGGAGCACGAAGACCACGAGTAAGGAAAAATTAAAGTAATAAACATGAAATTAAGCTGTATGGGTAGTTTTAATCAGGGTTCATTAACAGGTTAAGGACCGTGATTCTTTTGCGATTTTTGCCAAAAGTAATTAAATGCGTATGGATAAAGAATTAGTCGAATAAGCTATTCCTGCTTTTAGTTTTTTGGTTATACAATGATATTGTCGAATAGTCCCCCTTCAATATGTCATAGCTACTTGCTTGGTTATACAATGATATTGTCGAATAGTCCCCCTTCAATATGTCATAGCTACTTGCTTGGTTATACAATGATATTGTCGAATAGTCCCCCTTCAATATGTCATAGCTACTTGCTTGGTTATACAATGATATTGTCGAATAGTCCCCCTTCAATATGTCATAGCTACTTGCTTGGTTATACAATGATATTGTCGAATAGTCCCCCTTCAATATGTCATAGCTACTTGCTTGGTTATACAATGATATTGTCGAATAGTCCCCCTTCAATATGTCATAGCTACTTGCTTGGTTATACAATGATATTGTCGAATAGTCCCCCTTCAATATGTCATAGCTACTTGCTTGGTTATACAATGATATTGTCGAATAGTCCCCCTTCAATATGTCATAGCTACTTGCTTGGTTATACAATGATATTGTCGAATAGTCCCCCTTCAATATGTCATAGCTACTTGCTTGGTTATACAATGATATTGTCGAATAGTCCCCCTTCAATATGTCATAGCTACTTGCTTGGTTATACAATGATATTGTCGAATAGTCCCCCTTCAATATGTCATAGCTACTTGCTTGGTTATACAATGATATTGTCGAATAGTCCCCCTTCAATA